GAGGAGGGGGAGGCTGCGCCGAGCAGTATCCGGGTGTCAGAGCAGCGCCGAGCCGCCACCAGCCGCCATTACAGTCTCCGATCCATCTCACACCCACCCACTGCGGGGAGGGCGGGGGAGCTGCGCGGGGTGTGCCGGGAAACACCCTCCGCCGAGATCGCTGACGTGCGCATGCGCACCAAAGGTTGCGAGCCCAGGAGGAGCCAGGGGGCCGGGACTGTCTGTGTCCAGGACCCGCCCAGGGAGCCCCGAGCCGCTCCTGGCCCAGAGCTAAGTGAGTGACACGATACTAGAGACGAGCGCTGCTGGAGGCCAGTCGCTGGGGCGGGGGCTGCTTCGTCCGGCCTTATTCCGCGGCAGGCGGTTCCCTGCTCCCAGGCTGCCGGGAGGGAGCTGCGACCCGCTGCCGTTTGTTTAGAAGATGTGTCAGCAGCCCGGGGGGCAGGGCCTCATCCTGCCCCTCCCCCCGACACACGCGCGCGGGGGCACGGGTCTGCCAGGTTAAAACGGGCTCGGCTCGCAGGCTGCGCCAGCCGCGGATGCCGCACATGGCTGTCGCATTCTTCCAATGCTCCCAGCCCGGGCTGGGGGCCTCCCCGCGGCCAGTTTCGCTCCGGGGTAGGCGAGGTGGTGGCGCTGCCGTTCCGCCCCACCTCCCTCACCCAGAGGCGGCGAGGGGACAAATGTAACCAGGCTCCTGTCGCCTGAAACGCAGAGCCAAAGCACGAACTCTAAGCAAGGTCCCGTTCAGTGCGAGGTTGGGGAAGAAGTTTTGACAATGCCCGTGCCCTTATGTAGCTAAGGGAAACTGGGAGTCCTCCACTTGTTGGCGTTAAAAGTGGATGGTTAGCGAGTCAGAGTGGGTGAGGTAATATCTTTTATTGGCTCCATTGCTGTTGGTGAGAAATGAGCTTTCTCACCAGAGGTCGTCTTCAGATTTGGGAGGCTTACTTCTTGCCACAGCTGTCCTGGTTCTATAGGATAAACTTAAAAAACAACAAATAGTCTGGTAGCACTTTAAAGACGAACAAAACGTAGATTAATGATAGAAATGTAGCCAAGTGCAGTAGAAACAAACTAATGAAAGTGTATATTTTAATCTTAGCAGAAATGTCAATTTATTGAAAAGTAAATCTGAGGGTTTTAAATTATTTTTTTAACAATATAAGCTGTTACTTGTCATATAAGGAGACTTTCTTTTGAATAGGCTTATTAAACTGATAATGTGAACATTTTATATGTTTGTCACATTCATGAAGGGACCATGTTTGTTTGGTTGATGTTTTAATTTTTTAAGGCAACTTTTAAAAAATCTCTGAATGATTTGTGATGTGTGAATCAATGAGATGGTTATTTATCTAATTCATTCAGAACTTCTCTTCATGCTAAGGAAATAATTTTAAAATTTACCTACTTGCTACAACTCGGTCAGTTTCACCAGTGATAGCAATATTCAGAGCTTTAGTGTGGGTAAGAGCAGGAGGTGTTGTGAAGTAAGAGGGAGGAGCAAGGCCAGAAAGTGTTCGGGTGAGGAGCACAACAGGGGCAGGAAAAGGCAGGGTGAGGCTGCGACCCCTGAGAGTTAGGGGTGGAGTGGTGAATCCTGAACAGAGTCTCTGTCCAATACGTTAGAAAGTCAGTGCCTATGTTGTGATATACTTCATGTGAAGGGTCAAATATAAAAATATATTGACAGGATTATTTTAGAGACTTAATCTCTACAATTTGAGACAAGTGGAAGGCAGTAAAATCTCAAAACAAGTTTCCACTAATTATCAGTATCAAGTGAAGAGTGGGAAATATTATTGCTCTTTAAAATATGGTTAACTCTGTAGCAATGGCAGCATATAATTTCGAGATCCTGATGGTTTCAGTGTGGTTTCAGTCCATTCACACGTAGTGTTCCTTGGCTGCTAATAAGCGGAGAGTGAGGTTTTTGCTCCTCGCTTCTTCCCTGACTTCCCTACATTAATAGGGATTCCTTGGTTTTGGGATTTTCTTGAAGATCAAGAATTTACAAGTTGAAGGCCATATTTTCCTCCACTAAGGCTACATAGAAGTTACTCCAATCCCACAGTTGTTGTAACTCACATAATAGTATTTGAGGAGGGTGATTATGTCAAATTACTATAATTGATAACATTAATAAAGCTGCATGATACTTTACAGAGACTTGATAATGAAGTCCTACTCCCTGGTCAGATTGAAGACTTGCAGGAAAAAAAGGGAGATTATTAATGTGAATGCTCCTTCCTCACTATACATTTACTTGCTTTTGGTAATAAGATCAGAGCCAGATAGGCTGATTTCCTATGAATTCTTAATATACAATCATTTGTATAAACTTATTTGCTCTCACCATTTCATCTGCTTTTTTTTTTTCTTCCAGATTCTCGCTGCGGTCTTGCCCTTTCTGACCTTTTCCCTTCTACACCCGCTACAACTCATTCTTCCCTCTCATTCATTTAGTGTCTTCTAGACAAGTGTTTCTGAACCTTTTTTAAAGTACCCCCTTTAAAACAAAATAAAATTAGACGTACCCCTACTACCTACCGTTTTCAGACACACACAATCTTTCTGTACCATTGCAACACATTTGTTTAAACAACTTAATCGTAGCTGGGCAGGCGATGACATTTTTGGGTATAAAAAGTACAAAAATAATAAAGCGCTGTAAAACTTACAACAAAAATTCAGTTTTCTCCAAATTTCAGTTGTGTTGAAGTACCCCATCTCCCTCCAGACTTCTCTCAAGTACCCTGAAGGGTACTCGTACCACTGGTTGAGAACACTGCCCTGACACATCTTTATTTTACTTCAGGTAAAATACATCTTTATTTTAACTGTTCAGTTTCCTGCTTTTTCGGTTCCCAAATCATCATGCATGTGTATATGTGCCCACAAAGTACATAATAAAAATACAGCTCTAACTCCAAAATACCATATAACTAAGGTCTTGTTTTCACTACTGGAGATCTCAAAGCTGCATATCATTGGGCAGTGATGCAGCAGGCATTGATTTAGCAGGTCTAGTGAAAAGCTGCTCAATTGACTGCTGAGTGATCTCCAGTTGAGCCCTATACTCCACCTCTTTGAGAAGAACCAAGTAAATTGTCTCAGTGCAGTGTGGCACAGCAAAGACACCGCAGTAAATCAATCTTAAACCGTGTTGATTCTAGATATATTATTCACATATCTGAAGTAGCATTACTTTAGTTGATTTATCCCCATAGTGAAGACAAGTATTTTTTAAAAATGGAAGGGGCTAAACCAATCAGATGTTTGTTTTGTGACTCGTACTCCTCAATGATTTATGTACTTCTGGCAAATCTTAGCCTTAGGCAACTAAATAGGCATTTAAAAGCCAAACTTTAGATTTTTATGTTTGAAAAACATTGACTTTATTATGTAACAGGTTAATAGGATTTTTGACATACCCATCATCTTACACCATGGCAACAATCTCCCAGTTTCACCTATGCTGCTTGCTTGCAGTTACATGCTAATAGTAAAGTACATGAAGATCTTGGAGAAAGTGGCAGAAATTCAGAGTTGTAAACTTGAGGATCCTAGAATGCATGTACAATGGGAAAGGAAATTCTAAAGTGTCACCCACTTCTCATTACTGTAATTGCCCACAGCAAAGAGAACAGCAGCAATCTATTGAGGTCAAGGAGCACACCAACTCATTCTGAAAACACACACACCAAGAAAGAAAAATGAAAACACATTCCCTAAGCAAATTGAGAATTATTTAAAAGCCTCAATCTGTGCTTGTTCCAGGATTTTCTTTTCTTCGATAACGTGAGTCACAGTGACTGATTATGACCTATTGTTTAGATTGATGTATTACTAGTTAGCCCATAGACCAGCCAAATTTGAGTGTAATTCATTCAAATAAGTACTTACCAGTGCCAGAAGCCCAACAGGACAAGGGATAGAAAAGCAGGTTCCAAAATAAGCAATGCTATTTGGACCAAAACATAATGATTAGAAAACTTGTCTAAAAATAGAAATTTTCATTATTTCAAATTAGCATTTCACATACATGTTATGCCCCCCCCGCCTTTAAGGTGGTTCCATGGAAGAAGAAACAGACACGCATAAAAAATAAATTGTAGAGAGTCTGTCAGGTAGATTACTGTTGATGTGACTATCTATTGTACAGAAGCCTGCAGTTAAGTACCAATGCAACTTGTATGAGTTAGTGGCAATGCTGTTTTGGGGAAAATACTGTATTTCAGAAATACAATTCTTCACCTAAATAGAATCTCACTGATTTATTGCCTTTGTTTTAAGGTATGGCAACTTTGTTTTAAAAGAAGAATTTTTAGCAATAGAATAATGTAGAAATAAAGATAATGATTTTATGTATTAAAGATAAAGCATGTTTAGTTGAACAGTTGAGAAAGGGATAGAATAAGGAACTTTTTTTTGTGAAGTAGTCTTGTAATGAAGCATTCATGGAGTCTCTTATTTCACAGATAGATCATCTCTTTACATTTTAAGAGCAAGTCCTAAAGAATTGCAAAACTTTGTTTTAGAACATGAAATAACTAGTACTCCTGTTATGAGGCATTTTTATTAATTAAAGGTACCAATTGAAATGATAGTTTTTGCAATGTAAACAATTGTCCAATAGGAACTGAACTGAAACAGACAACTTACTTCAGATAGAATACAGAACAGCTCTCATATGGTTATGTCTTTTATATTACTGAAATGAGCTGGATTTGAACTAGTGATGTAGAAATGGAAGGCTCAAGGCTCTGCATATTATTACTCATCTCTTGACTATCTGATTCCTCATATATAAAATTGTCTTATTACTGAGTCATAGAATTAGCTTAAGCCAAGTTATAAAAACAGGATTAGTCAAAATAAGAATGTATACAGAGGACACAGATATGAATATGTAAGAATCACATTGTAAGAAATGCATTCACCTACATGAGTAGCTTGGCAACTACATTAAAAAATTGGTAAGGCTAAAAAGATGTATGATCCAAAACATTGTTGTATTACTAGATCTTAGATTATATAAAAAGCATAATATTTTGTCCATATAAAGATATAGTAGTTTTAAGATCTGCCTCTTCTCACAAGGATTATATAGATAAGAGGTCAGATTAGTGAAGAAACAGGATTAAGGCCTGACTGCAATAGGATCTACATTTGCAGTTACTTTATATATCTATATATGCGTGTGCATTTTATATTGCTTTGTTGATAACTCAGCAGACAATAATAAACAAACTCAGCAGACGATAATTACCTAAGCTTCCTCCTTTGGCTTGGATGTCCCTAGAGTTTCCATCTAGAGTCTAGGCCCTCCTCTGTCCTAATTGCCTCCTTCCTTTTTCCCAAAGAGATCACTCAAAAAGGCTGTGTGGAGTTGAGAAGCTGCATGTGTCACAGAACTTCAGATACTTCATTTAGGATTCTAAACAGGGAAGGTCAGCAAAAGAGGCCTGCTGCCCCAGCATAAACAGATTATGCAGTGTTTACATGGGTTGAAAAGATTGGCAGGTTTTCACTGGTTTGTCATCACCACTAGTGAAATCTTTCTGTAGAATTTTCAGTAATTTACACGGTTTCCTTTTTATACCATTGACCTTTTTTTCTATTAAGGGTATTTCGTAAGCTTGTGCAGATTAGGGAAGAGCTTTGTAGAATAGCTACTATAAAAGTCATGCTGTCCAAGGGGGACAAGTAAGTGTGGGAGGCAATATAAAGGAGGAGGCCTCTTGAAATTTGAATCATCTGGGGAACATCCACAAGTTTAAGTGATGCAACTCCCAGCCTTGTCAATTGGGATGGAGTGAAATGACATGCTCCTGCATATTCCTTTTCTCCCCTGTACTTCAGTTGAAAGAGATCTGGTTTGGGAAGATATGGCTGTGTCTTGTTCAGAGGGTACTAAAGATAATGAGATTGTGAAGCCTGTGGTCTCAGGTATTAGGTGATATTTCTATCTAAGGATAATATTTATACAGCTCTTGTTAAAGAATTCAGTCATTAAACGAGTATTGTTGTTTTTTTCTTTTTTGAAGTGATGTAACCCTGCTGTGGACATTGTTTCTGAAATAGGTAGTGTACTGTGTTGGCCATTTGATTTATTGAATGTACCGTGCATGTGCCCAAGTCTAATTTCCTGACTTTAGTAGCTTGTGTTTCATGATTTTTTGAGTATCTATTAAATTATTTAGATCACATGGTGATGTTTTAAAGATATGAAATATTCCTAGAAACTTCCCACACTATAATTAAAGCGTTTGTCTGATGGACAACATCAAAATTAATATTAATATTTCTAAATCTTTTCAACTCCTGCCAGCTATTTATTTCAGCACTTTATATATCAACCTTGTGATTCACAAATGCATACTTCTCAGGTTATAAATGTTGCATAGATATATAATTACATAGCTGTAGATAGGTCATTAATCTTCTCTTATTAGGGGATGACTTCTCACTCCAGATTTTATGACCTCATTCCCCGCACACTAACCAGTAAAGATAAATTTCATATAGAAAACTAAATTGCAGTGTCTGAGGAATTACTCAGACTACACTAAGGATAATGAAATTACCTTCCTGCAATATGGGTGACCTTAATACTTATAAGTGGCATTGCTGTCAAGAAATAATTAGGTTATATCTATCAATCATAGATAAAAGTCTGTATCCTCAGAGTTATGGCATATGTGGATATACTGTCCATGTTTAATACAGTTTGCTTTAAATTTATTTAATGTGTTTAGTGGTTATTGAGATTAATCTCTTTGTGTGCAAAGCTGAATTGGCTACATAGAGACTTCTTCTCCTAACTGTGAGTATTTAAAAAAAAACAAACAAAAAAAAAACCACCAAGAACATAGAGATACCCATGCCAGTGGGGCTAAACCCGCACATTCCTTCACTAAGAACAACTTAATCATAATACAAAAAATCTCCTCCTTTTTCTGCTTGTCTTTTTCACAGGCATACTATTGCTTGTTGTTTTTGGGGTGCTTAGATACAGTGATAACTATGTAAAGTATATTGATATATTCACAATACTAGTAACGTTGCCCTTTACTGTGGATAATAGCTATTTTCCATTTCTTTTATTTTGGATTAACAAGGATGAGGATGGTAATTGTCACATAGCTGCAGTCAGTATCAAAGTTCTGAAATCATGACCCAGTTTTACAATCTTTATTCACAAGGAGTAGAACTATGCATGTAATTGTAGATTAAAATGGGATTATTTGCTTGAGTGATCACTACTCCGATAGAATAATGGTTACAGAACCAGTACCTGAATTTGTAATTAATCTTGGAAACAATACTAACACAGGTTCGTACAGAAGCTTCATCAGAATAATTTAAGAATCCACGGAGTACTTAAAATACTGTAATCTAGGAAATTGCTAATGTAATCTGAAAAATAATAGACACACAGCAGCAGCATTGTAAGTGTCAATCAGCATTTTAGTTATATACAGTGGAAGAGATTCTCACTCTGGCTATAGAGGATGCCTCTGCAATGGCAAACAGGAAGGCTGTGTCTACATTAGCATCCCTTTTCCGGAAAGGAGTGCCAATGTAGACTTTGGAATAGGCAAATCCGCAGGGGATTTAAATATCCCCCACGGCATATGCATTAACATGGCTGCCGCTTTTTTCCGGCTTGGAGATAAGCCGGAGAAAAGCGCCAGTCTAGACGTGATTCTCCGGAAAATAAAGCCTTTTCCGGAGGATCTCTTATTCCTACTTTCAAGTGTAGTGGATACATAATCAGAATGTTGGTGGTAACTATCAATATAATTTTTTATATATATGGAGGATATGAGAGAGAGAGAGAGAGCGCGAGCACACACCATGTATTGGTGGCTGCTGTTCCACAAGTCTGAGCCTAGCTCCCCATTCTAAACTGGTTCTTAGGGTCTCTGTCACATCATGATGTCTCTTATTAAAGTTATGGTTCTGCTGCTTTTTTGTCATGGTAGCGGGGTGGCCAGACCTGACCTGTGTGGGACTTCAATGCCATGCACCAGGTCACAACGCTTAGAGCCAGAAGCCCTGATGAGTAATGGGTAGACACACTCTCCAAATCCCCCTGCCCCCACTTCTCTCACCCTCTGCAACAGGTCAGGATTAGAGTTGTGAATGCCAGGGCAAACTGGTGCATATACCGTATTTTCTGGCATATAAGACGACTTTTGATGCTAAAAAACATCCCCCAAAAATCGGGGGTTGTCTTATACGTAGGGTATACAGGCGGCGGGGCATCCCAGGCGCGCCTGGGCTGCCCTGCCACCC